GTTTTAGATTTAGCATTTGCTCATGGCGCTCTGCCTCTTTCGCCACTGCGCGAGACAGGAAAACTCTTCATTTGTGTGGTTGATGATAGGTGCAAACCTTTGTACCAGTTATTGGAAATCTGCGGGTCAGGTGCTAATCACACGCCAACTCAGTCCACTTTCTCCGAACAGGAATCAAACGGTAGCTCCCTTGTCAATGAATCCCTAACACCATTTTTGTTTTGTTCTGAAACCAGATCTTTAACCCTCATTCATAAAATTAGATCATACCATGTCTACAAAAGCAGTAGCTCTATTCCTTTTCCTTACTATATCTGACAGTTTATACTTGAAAATAGGCATCCCAAGAAATGTAATTTGAGAGAAAAAGATTATTTGGGAAACAGGAACGAAGTTCATTGTAAATTTTCGAAGCTGCCACACCAGGCCGTCGTCGGACTTGAGGGAGATGTGTAAAGAACTTTGCGCATTTTTAAATATGCCGAGAAATCGATAATGATTCCTCACCCATGGTCAATAGTAGGCTCCGGTGGTTGGCGCTTTTTCAAGGCCTTTTTGAGGTTTATGTTCATTAAATCCAAATCAACATACCCATTGATGTATGATTCGTTAGATTAAAGGGCTTCTGAAAGTTCGCAGCCTTTCTTATATGGGCAGGAACCTACTATGTGGGTTTTGTCTCACGCAACCTGTGCCCAGTTTTAATCGAATGCTTTGCGACTTCGGACAGGTGGTCGCGCCTCTTTACCGTTGATTGATGTTCCTGTGTGCGTATAGAGGCGGACCTTCCCTGTTTGTTCACAATAAATTGCATCGCCGTCGCCGCAAGGAATTTTCGTAAAAGACCTCCTTTTTGTCCAAATAGCCAACCCTATCCTTAGGGTGTACAAGCTGGTTTCAAATCGTGGTCATTGGCTTGTGCGCCACTTGGGTCTGGTACTTCCTCGGGTGTCTTTCAACGAGTTCAGACACTTTTTTTAATATTTTTAATATATATACGTGGTCCTAACGTTTGCCAGTAATACATTGGTTACTTAAAGTTGGCGAGTAACATAATTGTTTCGTCTTTGAGAAAATAAACTGGAAGAGTCCAGTCATCGCCAGACGGAACAGCCAGGGTCGGTGAATCCTGGACCAGATCAGAGTACAGCTATGTACTAATCTATATCCCGATCGACAACTGGCAAGACGTCGACCCGGTGGCTCAGTGGATA